CCGACGCGCCAATTTTCGAAAAACTCTACGGGAATCAAACCCTGCCTGCGGTAAAAATCTACGGGATTTCACATAATCCAGATCCCCTGTGGTAATCGTACAATGCGTCCTAACCAATAAACCAACCTAACCTAACCCTGTGGGATTTATACACTACGATCTACTTATTCCTTAGACAGGGGGCTCTGCCCCCTGGACCCCCGTGGTATTAAATGCGCCTAGCCAGGGGGCTACGCCCACTGGACCCCCTACTAATATATAAACCTAGCCTAACCTAACCTAGCCTAACCCAACCTAGCCTAGCCTAACTTAACCTAGCCTAGCCTAAATTAACCTAGCCTAGCCTAGCCTAACCTAGCCTAGCCTAGCCTAACCTAGCCTAGCCTAGCCTAACCTAACTTAGCCTAACCTAACTTAGCCTAACCTAACTTAGCCTAACCTAACTTAGCCTAACCTAACCTAGCCTAACCTAACCTAGCCTAACCTAACCTAGCCTAGCCTAACCTAACCTAACCTAACCTAGCCTAACCTAACCTAACCTAGCCTAACTTAACCTAACCTAGCCTAGCCTAACCTAACCTAGCCTAGCCTAGCCTAGCCTAACCTAACCTAGCCTAATTATATGCGCCTGGACCCCCTAGTAATATATAAACCTAGCCTAACCTAGCCTAGCCGAACCTAACACTAACACTGACACTAAAACTAACCTAACACTAACTTAACACTAACACTGACACTAAAACTAACCTAACACTAACTTAACACTAACCTAACCTAACCTAACCTAACCTAACCTAGCCTAGCCTAGCCTAGCCTAACCTAACCCAACCTAACCTAGCCTAACCTAACCTAACCTAACCTAGCCTAGCCTAACCTCACCTAGCCTAGCCTAGCCTAGCCTAACCTAACCCAACCTAGCCTAGCCTAATTATATGCGCCTAGCCAGGGGGCTACGGGAACCGACAGCTAACTGTCGGGGGCTACGCCCCCTAGACCCCCGTAGTACTATATGCGCCTAGCCCCGTGGCTTTAAGAAAATACGATCTATATATTCCCTAGCTAAGGGGCTCTGCCCTCTGAACCCCCAGGGTAAAATCACATACCATTATATAGCGAAAGACCGAACTTTTCTTGGTTTCCGTCTATGGTCCGAATTCTTTGGTTTCTAATCACTTTTTTCGACATTTGGGGCACTTGTTGGGCTCATATATGAGGCAGAGATATACACTAATATCTATTGGTTTTATATATCCACTAAATGGGTTTAAAAACGACCCGGAATCGACGCAACACACCTAAAATGTGACACTTCCCACCGGTGTTTTGGAACGAATGGCGGCGGACGGACTGTCAAATCTCCCGCTGGAAAAACGCGCATGCGCACAGGGTTATTGTGCAAAATAGTGTAAATAGTTACCAAAACACGTAAAAGAACTATAATAAAAGTTAAACAATTCATTAAATGCTTGTATTCGGAAAATCAGACACTGGTAATTACAAAATAATCGTTTTCACAAGCGCGTAGTAATACATGGACTACTGACATGGATGGGGACTTGCAGAGCCTATTTTTGTCATTTCCCGGTAAATATGAGGCCGCTGCAGATTTAGATGTATTGATTCCTACTCTATTTTTGATGCTCTACAAGATACCAATGTCCATTTTGCTCTGTCTCCGTGCGTCGCTCTCGGTATCATTAACCCATATAAAAAAAAACAACTAAAG